CGGGTTATGAGCTATATTAATAGTAGCCTGATTATCACAGTACAACATTAGAGGTTTCTCATAGGTAATACCCAATTCATCAAACAATGATTTCAACCATAGTATTTTAGCCACACCATTTTCCATGGACCGATATTCAGCTTCAGCACTGGAACGAAAAACAACATTTTGTTTCTTACTCCTCCAAGAAACAAGGTTACCTCTTACAAAGGCACAATATCCAGAGGTAGACCTTCTTCTATCATCAATACAACCGGCCCAATCTGCATCTGTGTAAACTTCTATCTTCATGTGATTATTATCCTTAAATGGTACACCTCTGCTTGGACACCTCTTTAAATATGCTAATATCCTCTCAACAACAAGTAGGTGGGTAGTTCTGGGAGAGTGCATATACTGACTAACAACACTGACTGCATAGTTGATGTTTGGTTGTGTAAGACAAAGATATAGTAGTTTACCAACTAATCTTTGGAACATAGCTTTATCTTCAAGAAGCTCTCCACCTTCTGCACTAATATTGTGATTCTGTTCAATAGGTGTATCAACTGGCTTAACACCCAACTTTCCTGTTTCTTCTAACAAATCAAGGACATACTTCCTTTGAGAAACAAAGATTCCATGCTTGGACCGAGTACCTCAATACCCAAGAAATATCGTAGCTCTCCCAGGTCCTTTACCTCAAATTCTTGATGGAGAAGTTTCTTAAGAGACTCAATTATTTCGCTGTTATCATTTCCTGTTACTACAATGTCATCCACATATACAACAAGTAGAGTCAAGGAAGTATCCACTTTCTTAATAAACAAAGTGTGATCTGATTATGCCTGCACATAGCCAAACTTTTCAAGGGCTTGTCTAAATCTATCAAACCAAGCTTTGGGAGACTGTTTTAGTCCATGCAAAACTTTATTCAACCGACAAACCTTCTTACCTGTCTCTGTACTATAAAAAACAGGAGACAACTGCATGTACACTTCTTCTTGCAAGTCTCCATTGAGGAAGGCATTTTTAACATCCATTTGGAACAAGGGCCAAGAGTAACTGGCTGCAAGAGATAATAACACTTTGATAGTGGTCATTTTTGCTACTGGTGCAAAAATCTCCAAGTAATCTATAGCATAAGTCTAAGAAAATCCCTTTGCAACTAACCGGGCCTTATACCTTTCAATGGAACCATCAACATTATGTTTCACAGTAAACATCCATCTACATTCAACTGTTTCTTCCCTTTGGGTTGATCAACTAGCTCCCAAGTATTGTTTCTCAGAAGGGCATCCATTTCTACCTTCATTGCATCTTTCCACTCAGGAATGGTCAGGGCTTCCTGTACTGTTCTGGGAATGGGAATATCAACAATTGATGTAAGAAAGGACTTATAAGAGGGAGATAGGTGATCATAGGACAAGAATTGTGAGATACAATGGGCTGTCGATGAGGTGCAACGACGTTTTCCTTTACGAATTGCAATGGGAAGGTCAAGGTCATTCAATGGAAGTGAGGGCTCAGAAGATGGAGAAGGCTCAACAGCAGAAGTCTCATCTGTAATGGGAGCTGGAAGAGATGTAGTACCTGGATCTAGATCTTCAGAAGGAATTGGGGCTGGCCTAGACTGCTGATGACCGAAATCAACCTGCCTCCATTGTCTGTGATAAACTCTCAAATCCCGACATTTTTGACAACCCTCCCCATTACACCCCTCTTCACTCAATGGAATAGGTAAAGGGACTTTTGATGTGTTAACCCCAACCATACTACTCTCCCCCTAAGAAGAAACCCTAGAGTAATAAGGTACATCCTCAAAGAAAGTAACAACCATGGATACAAATTTCTGTCCTGAAGTAGGTTCGTAGTAGCAATATCCCTTTTGAGTTTGTGCATAACCAAGGAAAATACATTTTGAGGCTTTAGGGTCAAATTTGGAATAGTGAGGGCCAAGAGTTTGCACGAAGCAGGTACAACCAAAGGTTTTAAGAGGGATAGAAAACAACTCTTTATCAGGATATAAAAGAGTGAATGGAGGTTTCATGTCAAGAACCCGTGAAGGAATTCAGTTGATGAGATACACAGCTGTGAGAATGGCATCTCCCCAGAAATGTATTGGCACATTGGAGTTGAATATGATACTTCTAGCTACTTCCAATATGTGCCTATTCTTTCTCTTAGCCACCCTATTCTGCTGAGGGGTATGAGGGCAGGTACTTTGATGGATAATCTCATGGTCAAGAAAATAAGAGGCTAGTGATGTTTTAAAGTATTCTCTCGCATTATCGGATCTGAAAATTTTGATTTTTACCCCAAACTGGGTTAAAATCATCTGATGAAAGGTCTGGGTTAGGGTAGGGACCTCATCTCGAGAACGCATCAAGTAGACCCAAGAAAACCGGGTGTAGTCATCAACAAACAACAAGAAGTATCTGTACCCCCCCATAGCAGTGATGTGATATGGTCCCCAAACATCGGTATGCACAATGTCGAAAGGAACACTACTTCTCTTATTACTTAATGAATAGGTTGTTCTACAATGCTTTGCAAGCTCACAACTTTCACATTTTAAACTGGACATCTGGGTAGATTCAAATAAACTAGGAAACAAGATTTTCAAAGACCTAAAGGATAAATGACCCAACCGGTTATGCCAAGGCATGACTTGACCAATAGACTGAGAAACAAAAGAMCCTCTAACTTCACTACCGTCCCATTGTGAACTTCCTCCAAGTAGATAGATTCCATTTGTCTCACGGCCAGTCCCAATCACCTTCCTTGTCTCCAAGTCTTGAAAAACACATCGATCAGGAAAAAAGGTTACTGAGCAATTCTGGTTTTTAGTAATGTTGCTAACTGAAAGTAAATTGGTGCTAAGTTTAGGAACATACAGAATAGAAGACAGGGAAATGGCACTAAACAACTTGGTGTCTCCCTTGCCAGAAATGGGAACAAGTGATCCATCAGCAATAGACACCTTGTCTTTACCAGAGGATAAGTGATAGGTAGTAAATAGTGAAGGCAAACCGGTCATATGATCAGATGCACCTGAGTCTATTACCCAACAATGTTCAGTGTTACCTGGAGCTGAAGCATGATAAGCTGAGGCCCGTGTACCTGAATGAGCAAATGCTGAGGTGGGAGGAGCCGATGTTGTGACTGGCTAAGAGGATGATGCTGAATTACCAACCTCCTTTTCCAATTGAGTCAAGGCAGCTCGGACAGCAGCTAGAGTGTCTAGTGGTGCTGCTTTTGTGCTTGATGAGGTTGCACAATCAGTAGTAACAATTGTATTAGCATTCCCCTTTTTGTTCTTGAGTTTTGTGGGAACTAGATGAGGATGTAGCTTCCAACAGGTTTCTTTGGTATGCTTAGGTTTTTTGCAATGTTCACATATTAGGTCATTCTTGTCTTCCTTCTTCATATCTCTCTCTTTATCCCCCCCAAACTTGGGTTTAGTTGCTGCCAAGGCTGATTCAAGTGGCGAGTGCTGTAACATAACTTTCCTTCTACTTTTTTCAATGTGCACTAGAGAGTAAACTTGTGATAGAGTCACACTGTCTCTTGTTAGAAGTTGTTGTCTCAGAATGTCATACTCAGAATTCAGACCAGCTAGAAACTCAAATACCCTATTGGTTTCAACCTGCTTTCTGTAGGTTTGTGCATCCTTCTGGCTTTCCCACTCAATTGTTTCTAAGTGATCAATCTCATGCCACAAGGATTTCAAGGTGGAAAAATAAACCAAGACTGGCTTCTCTCCTTGCTTAAGGTTATTCACCTT